CCCCATTTTACTTAGCCTGCTATTCAGTCCAAAGTTTGAGTGCTTAAACTAGTTGCAGTATCCTTTTCCATCTTTATCTTTTATTCCTCTCATGGTTTTCCCTTTGCTGCGCATGTCTGTTTCTGTCTCATGTCTATCTCATGATACAATGCAGTTGTTCTGTTTTGTTTTTGTTTTTGAGACAGGGCCTCGCTATGCAATTCAGGCTGGCCTTGAGCTCACTTTGTAGCCCAGGCTGGTCTTGAACTCACAGTGATCCTCCTGCCTCAGCCTCCCGAGTGCTGTGATTACAGGCCTGTGCCACCATGCCCGGAAACACAGTTGTTCTGAATCCACAATTGCAATTATTGATACTTTATCATATCTCTTCTATCTCTAGATACCTTGAGGGATAGATGTGAGTACATATAGATACACACAGGATGACTGAAATAAATACAGAATAGGCTAGTATAACAAGATACGATAACAAGAACAAATACTAGGTTTTCCAATGCAGACCATATAATGAAGGGTTAACATAGGTTTGGGTATCAGATTGACCTGGTTTTGGGGTGGGGGGGATATAGCAACACAGCACCTGCCTGGCAAGTTCGAGGTAATGAGTTCAATTCCTGGTAGCAAAAGAAAAAAATTTTGACTTTGCTACTTTCTATTAGAACTTAGAACTCTTGGGGTTTTTTTGTTTTGTTTGGTTTGGTTTGGTTTTGTGGGTACCAGGAATCGAACTCAGGACTTTGTGCTTTGCCAGGCAGGTGCTTGTACCACTGAGCTATATCCCCAGCCCTACTATTAGAACTTTGAGCAAGTGACCTAAATTCTCTACATCTCCATGATTATAAAATGTGGATAGTAATAATGTTATTTCCTACAATTATTGTAAGGATTCAGTATTGCTTAGTTCAGTGGTTGGGATATATTAAGGACATAGTAAAATGAAGTTATTATTACTATTGAGAGGTACTCACAGTAAGTGCTCCAGAAATTCAGAGAATGAGGGATCCTTAAGGTCACATGTTTGCAAAGAAGTCTCCCAGAGGAGGTTATTATCGCAGATAGAGACTGAGGCAGGCCGGGGTTGGGAGGGAGGGCTGGGGTTGTAGCCCAGTGGTAGAGCACTTGCCAGAGTGTCCTAGGTCCTTGGTTTGATCTGTAGCATCAAATATGCACCAAAAGGTGCCAGGCATGGTGGCGCACGCCTGTAATGCCAGCACTCAGGAGGCTGAGGCAGGAGGATTGCCACAAGTTTGAGGCCAGCCTGGCGTACGTAATGAGTTTAAGGCCAGCCTGAACTACACAGCAAGATCCTGTCTCAAAAAAACTAACAAACAAATATACACCAAAAGAACATGATGAAGGCCGAGCCAAAGGCTGAGGTCTCCAATCCCATTTTCTTTCTCCAGGTCTGGGAAGTGAGAATGTGGAGATTGTTCAGCCAAATGAATTTGACCACGCCCCACAGGATGCAGATGAATTGGGGTTCAAGGAAGAGCAAGATCTGGCCCCAGGTCACGACGTAAAAAACGATTCTCTCAAACCTGAAGGCATCCAGATCTGGGATGACTTATGGGTCCAGAGAGCAGGGCTGGCGAAGCCCCAGCCTCGGGATCGAGGCCCCCGGGTGCTCGGGGAACCACGCTGGGGCCAGGCCGGTGCTGACCGGACTGCAGTATGTGGCGAGTGCGGCAAGAGTTTCAGGCAGATGTCAGACCTGGTGAAGCACCAGCGGACTCACACCGGGGAGAAGCCCTACAAGTGCGGGGTTTGTGGCAAGGGCTTTGGGGATAGCTCAGCCCGCATCAAACACCAGCGAACTCACAGCGGTGAGAAGCCCTACAGAGCCCGGCCGCCAGCCCAGGGCCCCCCAAAGATTGCTCGGCCCCGGGTCCCTGCTGGTGAACGCCCCACTATCTGCGGCGAGTGCGGCAAGAGCTTCCGGCAGAGCTCTGACCTGGTGAAGCACCAGCGGACACACACCGGCGAGAAGCCCTACAAATGTGGCATCTGTGGCAAGGGCTTTGGTGACAGCTCTGCCCGGATAAAGCACCAGCGGACACACCGAGGGGAGCAGCCCCCCCGGCCAGTGGTGCCCCGAAGGCAGCCGTCTCGGGCAGCCAATGCAGCTGCGCAGGGACCCAAGGCTCCGGACAAGCCATATGTCTGCCCTGATTGTGGCAAAAGGTTTGTCCTCAGCTGTAGCCTCCTGAGCCACCAGCGCAGTCACCTAGGGCCCAAACCCTTCGGCTGCGATGTGTGTGGAAAGGAGTTCGCCCGGGGCTCTGACCTGGTGAAACACCTGCGGGTGCACACGGGGGAGAAGCCCTACCTGTGCCCCGAGTGCGGCAAGGGCTTTGCCGACAGCTCCGCCAGGGTCAAGCACCTGCGCACGCACAGCGGCGAGCGGCCGCACGCCTGCCCGGAGTGTGACCGCACCTTCAGCCTCAGCTCCACTCTTCTCCGCCACCGGCTCACGCACGTGCAGCGCCAGGCCTTCAGCTTCCCCAGCCACCCCGCGGCCCCCCTAATCCCCAGCCCCCCTCCGCCTCCTCTTGCCACCAGCCCCCCACTGACTCCCCGAAGTCCTTCACGCTCGGGTGATGGGCCTTTCGGCTTACCTGGCTTGGAGCTGGAACCTGGGGGCCCGCAGGCCGGCGAGCCCCCCCCGCCGCTGACTGCGGGTGACAAGCCCCACAAGTGCCCCGAGTGTGGCAAGGCCTTCCGCCGAAGCTCTGACCTGGTGAAACACCTGCGGGTGCACACGGGGGAGAAGCCCTACCTCTGCCCCGAGTGCGGAAAGGGCTTTGCCGACAGCTCAGCTCGCGTCAAGCACCTGCGCACCCACCGTGGTGAGCGTGCTCGGCCACCAGCGCCATCTACTCTCCTGCGGCCGCACAACCCTCCTGGCCCAGCATCCATGGCCCCTCGACCCGTAGCCCACGCCCAGCCCTCTGGACCCAGCCAGCCCCGCGTGTGTGGCTTCTGTGGGAAGGAGTTCCCCCGGAGCTCAGATCTGGTCAAACATAGGCGCACACACACTGGGGAGAAGCCGTACAAGTGTGCAGAGTGTGGCAAGGGCTTTGGTGACAGCTCTGCCCGTATCAAGCACCAGCGTGGGCACCTGGTCCTGAGGCCCTTTGGGATAGGGGATGGTCGGGCACGGCCCCTCAAGGAGGAGCCCCCAGCGGAACTGGAATGATGGGATTCAGGGAGGGTGGAGGCCCAGGAGACCAAAGGGAGGTCTGCTGCTGAAGCAGAGGCAAGGGTGTGGGAGGCAGTGGGGGGAGGAGGAGGGGAAGAAACCGGAGGAGCTAATAGATAGGAACAGACTGGAGAAGTAGCCCTGACACTCAGGAAGCCGTCCTGGCTAGGTGTGAAGACCTCGATGGTGTGGGCTGAAACCTCCAGCTTGTAGAACACCGGCACACAGTAGACACTCAATAAATACTTGTTGACGAGAGAAACTGGCCTTAGCCTGAGCACCCTTACTTAAAATACCGTGTTCCTACTGCCTCTTTTCTGTTAGGAGTTGACCCCTTGTTGAGGTAGGATGGCTCACACTTGTAGTCCCAGCTACTCAGGGGGCTGAGGCAGGAATGTTTGAGGCCAGCCTGGGCAGTTTAAGAGAAGCCCTGTCTCGGAAAGGGCTGGGGTGTAGCTCAGTGTTCTCTGGGTTCAATCCTCAGTACCAAGAAAAAAAGACTCCTTCCAACCTTGCCCCAGAGACCAGGCTTTGACCTGATCGGTGCGGTGATGGGGCTTGTGGAGTTTAAGGTGTGGAAATGAGGGAGAGGCACCTTGATGGGCCTGTTGGAAAGTGTAGTGGACAGACCCACTCCTAACCTGTACCCACAGGACATAACCTCAGCCAGGAAGAGCCGGCGCTCTTGCACGGGGAGCAGAACTACGTGCCCTTGAGGAACCCCACCCACCCTGACACCTGGTCACTGACAGAACAACAGAGACAGCAGGGGGAACACATGGCATGGGTCTAGATGCCGCACCCAGGTCCTGTTGGATATCGGCAGGGACCCACTGTCTGGGTGAGTGCAGGCCAGAAGGAGAAGGGGCCAGGGAAGCTCCACAGCCAGATGGCCACGTTTCCATGTGTCTCCTTAGTAATAAACTGTTTCTTGTCTGAGCTTTGAATTCTGTGTAGGGTGTGTGTGTGTGTGTGTGTGTGTGTGTGTGTGTGTGTGTACATGCATCCACATGCACAGCAAGGATTAGCAAGGATTAGAAATGTCTGGGCGTGGTGGTGCACGCCTGTAATCCCAGCACTTCAGAGGCTGAGGCAGGACAATCGTTGCAAGTTTGAGGCCAGCCTGGGCTACAAAGTGAGCTGAAGGCCAGCCTGAACTGTATAGTGCGACCTCCTCTCAAAAATTGCCATTGGGGGCTGGGGATTTAGCTCAGCACAGCGCCTACCTGGCAAGCGCCAGGTCGTGAGTTCGATTCCCGGTACCGGAAGAAAACAAACAAAAAAAAATTGTCTTGGGCAGCCACTTTATAGCTCTAACGTCTGCTTTTCAGACTGCCACCAGGTCCCTCAACTGATGGCTAAGGTCTGGCTTCCTAAAGGCACCATCAACGCAGTAATTCAGAGCTCCTTGCTTAAAAACTGGGGTAGGCTGTGGAGGGAGGGCAGGCGACAGGGAAGCGGGGCATGAGTGTTCCTTAGCCGGGCAACACGGTGCCCACCCGCCGGGTAGGCGCACCGAATGCCCAGACCCTGATGCACCGCCTCCCTGAAGCCCCAGCCTACATCAAGAAACAAGGGCTCTGGTTCTCCAGCCCACGGGGAGGCCCCTGGCATTGCCCAGCGCCCGGAGCGCCAGTGCATCCTGGGAGCGGGACATTGCTCAGTTTGTTCTGAGGACAGTGCCAACAGGACAGGACGAGAGGACCTAGCCTGACTGGCCAGCAACAAAAAACTCCAGGCGCGTTCATCCACTGCTTTCAACTTCACCGGTCCCGGGGTCTCAGTAGTCGCGGGAATTCTCTTGAATAGAGGTTCACGCGAGAGCTCAGCCATCCGACTGGCTCCCCTGGAAACCAATAAAAGTTTACTTTAGGGCGCTGCCTCCAGATCCTCCCACCAAGCTGAGCTCCTACTGGTAACCTCCGAACGCTGTGTGCAGGCCTGGGCTTCTGCCGGCTTCTGTACGAAAGCGCACAGACGTGTGTTGGTCTCAGTGAAGTCTTCTGGAAGACCCTCCCTGCGGGTTTTCGTGACAGTTCGGCCTTCGAGCGGACTGCAGTGAATTTTAGCCATAACCCCCGCCCCCCTCAAAAAAAACTCTACTACATTTTCCCGTGCGCTCTCGGCAAATGGTAACTCAGTTGCACGCAAGCCTTATACTTGGGTAGTTTTTAGCTCCGTGCTTCTTGGAATTTTGTTTCCGGGCTAGGGATGCAGTTCAGCGGTCGACCACGTGCTTAGCACATAAGGATTCCGGGGTTTCCATCCCCAGCGCGCGCGCGCGCGCGCACACACACACACACACACACACACACACACATGAAGTCCTTGATTCTAAGGCAGATTCCACTTTTTTTTTTTTTTTTGAGACGGTCTCACCATGTAATCCACTCTGGCCTCTAACTCTCTTTTTTTTTTATTTGTTTTTTTCCCATACCGGGAATCGAACTCACCACCTTAGCACATAGTCAGTCTTTTTTTGTTGTTTTTTTTTTTCCAGTACCGGGAATCGAACTCACGACCTTGCACTTGCCAGGCAGGTGCTGTGTCGCTGAGCTAAATCCCCAGCCCTGACCTCTAACTCTCCTCGTTGGCCAGGCTGGTTTCGAACTCATGGTTATACTCCTGCCTCAGCCTCTGGAGTGCTGGAATTAGGAGCAAGCACCACACTTGCCAGCTTCGATTCTGAACTGTTTCCGTGGCAGTTGTCTGCAGTCCCTGGGGAGGTTAGGGGAGGAGGGTCGCTTGAGCTTAGAAATCCCAGGAATTCGAGATCAGCCTGGACAACTGACAGGGGCATGGATGGATGGATAGATAGA